TTGTGCTTTCTGTGGCAGGACTCTTTTCTTCCTTCTTTTCCAACTCTTCATTTGACTTTTGCTGTTGTTCATTTTCTACCTTAGGTGAGTTTACTTGTGGAGGTTTTTGTTCATGCTGCAGCATCTGCTGCTGCTGCTGTTTTTGTTGTTTTTGTATCGAATCCTGTAGGCTCTGCTGATATTGTTGGTATTGTTGTAACAATGCACCAGGCGATAAACCAGCAATAGCTTGAGGCACTGCTGGCCCATATGGGAAGAGACTTTCCATCCCACATATTGGAGGGAGATAACCACCTTGCATTGTTCCATGAAGCTGGGGTGTGAAGTATGAAGCAAAGCCAGGAATAAAATATGGCAAGAACTGCCCACCTATAAAAGAAGCTGGGTCACCAGAGACAGCATTTTGAAGTGCTTGCAACTGGGCAGGGTCCACAGGTATTTCAGCTTTGCCCAACATGGAAAGAGCAGATGAGATTTTTTCCTCTTTTTTAGATTGCTTAAATCCAGATTTAGCCTCTGATTCCTCCTCTTTGATCCTTTTGAATTTGTGTCGCTTTTTTTCCAAGTCTTTGTTTTGTGGATCTGTCTGCTGTCCTGACAAACAGGATGATGACGAGGATGGGTGGGGTGGCGGAGGCTGTGGTGGGGTCTGCAGCAAACTTTTAGTGGGTGCACTGCTAAGAGAGAGAGCAGGAGATGGAGTAGCTGAAGTAGGAAACCCAAGCATGCCGGCACCAGGAGATGTCAAAGCTGAAAAATTAAGAAACAGTATTTTTAACATATTTATATATATATATATATAAATTATATGCAATATAGCCTTATAAATACAAAACACTCAGTGATCAATAAACAAAATACAACTGGCATTTTGGCCATACTGTATTAGTGGAAAACCAGACTTATCTAAAAGGAACAATACAGTTCAAATCAGAAGTGTATGTTTGGACATGATAGAAGCTAAATGTTTAACAACTGTGGCACTTGGGTCTGCTGTTATTCTTTTCTCTTTTTATTTAAGTCAAAACTAATCATGAAGGTGGAGAAAAGCAAGGTATTGTCTATTTTTCTCTGTCCTTTTACTTGTATCTGTTCTTGTCGGAGACCATGTTGAGATAAAGTATTTTTTTGCAAGACCAACTCTGTTGCCATCTCACGAGTTTCAGCACAAATTCAGGTAAAGACAAAATAATAAAGGCAAAAATAATTGAACGCATAAAGTCTGATGTTTAAAGCTGAACTTCAGTCACACAGATTACATTTATATTGGAGCTTTTTCCCAGCCAAAGGATTTCTATTTCTGTCCATCCAGTACCAAAATTCACAGTTCTGTCCCACAGCACAGCTGTCTAGCAGGGGAGGGGACATAATCTTTCTTTGCTACAGTTTAACCTGGTTAAGGTTTCCTCTTCATCCCCATACTCTGACTGGACAGTGAAAGAAGCAGCACAATGATGAGCTCATCTCTTTTTCTCCCACTCTGCACTCTTCCACCATCAGTATAGTCCTTGCACAGCAGCACACTAAATTCACTCTTTATGCTGCTTTTCTATCCCCATCTTTGAGCTTTCCTGTTCAGCCAGTACAGTACACTGCAAGAGGCTGATACCATGTCTGATTCAGGTATTTGTAGTGCTTGCATTTAAGAAAAAAAATACATTAAATGCAATGATGATTACAAAGCTGCACAATTTGTGGCTTTTATATCTGCCTGGAGTTCAGCTTTAATGCCCTGTGTTTATATAAGCAATTCTATTTCAGTAATTCTCTTTTTCAAGCTGTGTTTCCAGTTGTTACTACAATTACTTGGGAAGAGCAGATATCTGCATCTGTCCAACACAAAATGATTTTTAATCATAAAGATATAATACTTGGAGTCTTATTTACGTAGTAAACTGAATATGTTTTAGCTGTCAAATTCCAAGCTAAACCATGCCTAAAATAAAAGTTACTAGAAACAATCTGATTCACACAAACTTATATTCACTGTCAATTACTGCTTGAATCTTGTGCTGGATCACATTTTTAAATGAAACGTACTGGAAGAAATATGTAGGCTCCCACTGCTGAACTTCTGAAAATGGTTGTTTGGCTGTCTCTGGCTACAATACTATGTTACTTATATAAAACACGCACCTAGCAAAGGAAGGGAGAACTTCTAATCTGTACACTGATGCAATGACTCAGAAGGTATTAAAGTCTTCAGAATATTTAAAAAATAGTAGCCTCTATATTTTTGTTTTCTTTAAAGATTTGTTCTTTCCCACCTATATTATAATATAGTTCTAATAATCTAGTTTACCCAATCAAGTTGCCCAAATGTACAGATCAATAAAAGATGAAAGCAGGAACATTATCTTTCACTATTTTAAAAATGTTAATGGTATATTGTTTTTTGATAAAAGTTGTGAAATGTATTTATGATCACATTGGTAATTAACAAAGAAGAATCAAATGTTATGATTCACACTTACTGTTTGTAGTCTGTGTAAACCCAGACAATGAAGATGGGCTGTTCATCCCTGAAAGGAGAACTGGAGGAAGGCCAGGTAGCCCTTGGTAAGATGCTGACAGATTGAGACCATGAAGAGGACTGCTCTCCATCATACTTGACTGCTGAACAGTTAATCCCAAAACATCTGACACCTTCTTTATCCGATCCAGTTCTTGTTGTGCCATGAGTTGTCGAACAGTAGTAGGGGCCAAGTAGTCCTTCTCACGATCAAGCTGGCTTCCCACTGTTTCTCTCACCTTTGTAATGTGTTGCTTTGAAAATATATGATCTCGAATGGATAAACGTGCTGAATATTTTACCCCACAAAGAGAACACTCAAGTTTGGTTCCATCTGGCCCAGTTTGGTTAATCATAAAAGGCTTCCCTATGGTTATTTTGAATTTCTTCTCTTTTGCTCGTGCATTTTGAAACCAAACTTGGACAACACGTTTGGGAAGACCAATCTGATTGCCCAGCATTTCACATTCTTGCATTGTTGGAGTCCTATAATCACAAAAGCAAGCTTTAAGAACTTTCAGTTGAACATTACTCATTTGAGTTCTGAAGCGTTTATGACCTGGTCGGTCATTATTTTTGGCTTTAAAGAAACTGCTGCTACCAAAAGAATTTGGTGAGCTAGGATCTGGATCTGCAATACTGGATGTTTCACTGCGGTCATTATTGTCCTCATATTCATCAGTCATGTATATACTTTGGTCATGGTCGCTTTCTCTGTCCATGCTATTGTGTGATGTATTTGTCAGAGAAAAGAAGAAACTCTCATCACAGTTATCAATTGTGGGAGTAGTTCCTGTTTTTGGCAAACTATCATTCATATGATTTTTTGGTTCTTTGGGAGTTTTTACATCTTTAGAGCTAACAGTCATGCTTTCTACATCATTGTTTCCTTCATCCCCTGTTGTAGCATCACTAATTGCTGTGTTAATTGATGAGGTTTCATCAAAGTCATTTTTGCTTTGATCAAACCTTTCAGCAGAGGGTGCATGCAAGTTCTCGATGTCTTCATTGCATTCTGCCCTAAAAGATGATGGGCTTAAAAGATTCTTCGGTGATAGCTCGGCAGTTTTGCTTACTGGTGTGGAAACAGTAGAAGGCATATCATTTTCACTTAACAAGTCATTCTTTGGAAGTGTCGGATAATCAAAAAACATATATTTGTTTGGGCTTTCACCACCATCATCCATGCCAGCTAGAGGACTTGGTGGCAAACTATAACCAGCTTGCTTTCCCTCATTCCAATGCCGAGATCTAATATGACTTTCTAATGCTGACTTTGCTTTAAATAGTGCACGGCAAAATGGGCATCTTTTATGAGACTGAGCTGGACCTACAGCTCTGAACTGACCTTTTCTTTCTCTGGCTCTTGTATTCTGAAACCAGACTTGCACCACCCTTTTTTTTAGGCCCACCTCTCTTGCAATATGATCAAGCATCTTACGTGTTGGATTAGAATCCAACAGATATTTTTCATAAAGTATTTCTAGTTGCTCTGGTGTAATAGTGGTTCTTAATCGTTTATCTCGATGTTGATCCTCACCACTATTGCCACCCTCCTTCTCACTGCAGTTATTATCATCTTTATCATCCATCTTCCTTTTCAGAGAAGCAGCCGTAGTGCCATGTGGTCCACCAGCTTGTGGAGGCATGTGAGACATGGAACTGCCAAGTAACTGCCCTGCCATAAGAGGATTGTTTGGATCAAAAATCATATATGGCATGTCCATGGGCCTTTCTAAAAACTGTGAATGGAGAAACTGATTTTGGGCAGCTAGGAAATGCATGTGTTGGTGCTCCTGCCACAGTTCCAAGGTTGGAAAAGCCACTGTACATTGATCACATTGGTATTGTAGCAAATGAGGAGGTAGGCTGTTTGACAACGAAGTCAGAGATATCGGTAGCGGGCTAGATGGAACAGGAGTGGTTCGGGATGCAGATGAAGGTCTTGCAATTTGCTGAGGCTGTCTTTGCTGGGAAACAGACACTGATGGTGAAGGCTGTGTGTCAGATATTGCAGAACTGGATTGAATTAACTTGGAAGCTAAAGAGCTAGCAATAGCATCAATTTGCTTTGGTTTTTCATTTTGCACATCAGGTTTTGGTGAAGTTTTACCAAACTCTGGTCTTGGAGATGGAATTAAAGGTGTACTTGAGCCTGAACCAGAGCTTACTGTTGTTATAGTTGAAGCTTTTGATGTTTCTGCTTGACTAGACATCTTTGGGAAGATTTGATCTGTAGCATCCATTGAATCTTCATTTTGGCTTTCATCTTGAATATCATCATCTTCATCTTTATAACACAGCTTTTTCTGATGTGTAATTAGGTCAAATATTCTAGGAAATACAACATTGCATTTCTTACACTGATATTGCATGTTGCTAGTGCGAATGTAGCGCTCATTTGTTAGCTCTCTCTTTTCACTATCTTTAGCCTCAGCTTGATTTTCATAAGTTTTTCTAGCTTTTTGACGGGCATTTTGGAACCAGACAACAATAACCCGCGTTGCCAAGTTAAGAACAGTGGATAGTTGTTCTATTTCATCATCCTTTGGGTATGCATTAGTGTCAAAAAAGTCTTGTAAAACTCTAAGCTGATAGTCCGTAAACCTTGTTCTTGAAGACCTCCTGCTAAAAGAGTCTGACCTATGAATATCTACTGAAGGTGGTGGTGGTTCAATTCTGATATCCTCAAGAACAGTTATAGGGGGATTGCTGAAATTGTATGGTGAATCTTTGTTTCTTTGACGTTCCTTAAATAAAGTGTTTCGAAACCAGTGTTTGATAACTTTCAAGGAAAGACCTGATTTTTCAGCCATCTCCTGTATCTGATCCTCATTTGGAGAATTGTTAATGTCAAAGTAGGCACGTAGTATCTTAAGCTGGTCATCAGTTATTCTTGTACGAGGGCGTTTAAACTGGGAATGACGCAGGAAATTTGGATCTAAGCCCAACTGTTGCTGGCACATCTGTGCAAGATCTGCAGATAAAGCATCCATTGGAGAAAGCTGCAGTGCAAGTTGTGGAGGTAAAGCAGGATGTTGAACAGACTGCATCATAATAGGTGGGAAGAGAGGAAGGTCTAAGGATACAGGAAGTGAAACTGGAGGAGCTGATGGTGGGGGTGGGGGAGGTGGCGGTGGAGGGGGAGGAGGTGGTGGAGGTGGCGGTGGAGTTGGTGGTGGAGCTTGCAGTGGTGTTGGAGTTGAGCTTGGAATCTTAACTGGTACAGCTGGAGTAAGTGGAGGTGGAGCTGGTGTTGGAGGTGCAGAAGGAGGTGGAGGAGGGGGTGGCGGTGGTGGAGGAGGTGTTTCAGGAGAAGGTGGTACAATTGGATAAAGCTTATCATATGCATCTCTGTACTGACGAGCAAATTTTTCCAGTTCCCCATATGGGAAAAACTGTCCATGCACATGTTCTTGGTGACTCTTTAGGATCAAAATATTTGAAAATAACTTGCTACATGCACCACACTCTAGCTTCTCATTATTTTCATTTTCCCCAAGCTTGTTTTTCTTTTGTACTTTTTGTCGGTTTTCATTATATTGAATTATCAATTCAAATCCAAAATTTTCTAGAAGAGCTTTTGCTGCATTCCCTCTAGCACCAGAAGCAATACGGGGAGGTGGAATAGTAGGTTCTAATGATCTTTGTTTCTTCACATCTTTGCTGTCTTTTGGAGCATCATTGTCAACTTCTTGCTTTGGTTTTTCTTGCTTTTCAGTGATCTCCTCATGTTCTTTGTAACATGATGTATCTTTTGTAAGATGGCATTCAGTACTCGGCACACAAACATTGTTTTGCTCTTGTTTCATTATCCTGTTTGAATGGTGTTGCTTTTGCGATTGATGCTGCGACTGTGTGGCTTGATACTGCTGGGCCTGGTGCTGTGCTTGCTGTTGTAGCATTTGTAGCTGGGTCTGCCCAAGCTGATGTGTTTGAATTTGGAGCTTTAAATCTTCGAGTAATGATCCCGCCATACCAGGCATTCCAAATGCAGCAGAAGTAGGTAGTCCCAAATCAGGATTGAGGCTAAACTCTGTCCCAGGAATATAAAATGGAAAAAGAAACTGTGGCTGCTGGAACTGAACAAGAGCTTCTGGAGTCATTGGAAAGTGGGGAAGAAATGCTGGGTTTAAAAACTGGGGCTGAAAGAACGCAGCTTGTTGTTGCAGTTCATGCTGCAGTTGCATTTGAAACTGTGCTGGTGACTGTGGTGGGTGATGTGGAGGTTGGGTAGGAATAACCTCAGGAGCTTGCTTTTTAATTATTTCTTTGGCATCTAGGTGGGGTTCTTTGCTGTTTATAGTTGGCAAACCCATAGAATCAAGCATCCCTTGGCTTGGACTGCTAATATTCCCTGTTATGTTACTACCACCAGTATTGTTACTACTTGGTTCTAGTTTTGCAGCCCTTGCCTTAGTTTGGTGAAGAACAGATCTCATATGAATCTCCAATGTAGAGCTTTGGCTGTATGCAACATTGCAAATGCTGCACTTGAATGGTTTGTGGTCAGTGCTGCTGTTGGTCTCTTGAGGAACTGGACTTGATGCTTCTTGCAAAACCTTTTTAAGTTTATGCAGGTGAGAAACAGAATTATAATGGACCAAAAGAATGTTCTTTTGAGTAAAAGATTCTTTACACACTGTACATTTATATGGTCGTGATGGATCTAAAAATTTTTCCATAGTGAAATTTGGCCCTTTTCTAAAAGGCAAAGTTCGCTTTGGTTCTGAGCCCAAGTCATCTGGAATGGAGCTACTGTCACTCCCAACTGGGCTAGCCTTTCCTTCATGGTCCATCTCATAATCACGCTCATTGTCCTGCTCCAAAGAGTGCTCATCGGGGGCTATGTTTTCATTTTCAGCCCAGAGCTCCCCGTTTACAGGTAAGGTCGCACAAAGCTGCTGTACTTCAGTCTCGCTTAGCTCAGGGTGGCCCGTTTCCAAATGTTTTTTTAAAGCCAGGAATGTACGGAAACTGCGTTGGCAAAGGCTACACATAGTGGCGGCCCGGATAGCATGATACTGGGAATGTATCTGAAGCTTCTGCATAGTCTTAAAAGCCAAACTACAGTGGGTACAGCGGTATTTATAAACATGGCGATCAGAAACAGAAAGCTGCTGCCTCTTCTGCTGTTCGCTTAATTGATCAGTCAGTAACTCGCAGTGCTTTGAATCTTTGTTAATGGATTTGTTCCACTCGGGGTTATCTAATGATTCCTTAGGCATGTTTTGCTCTTCTGTTTTAATTTCAACTCCAGCCTTTAAATCTTCTCCACCTTGAATGTTTTTTTCCTCTGTCGGACTGTCACCTAATTGAAGTAAAGCAAAAAAAAAAATAGAGCTAATGCATTTGTTCTCATTTGTATGGGCATAAAAGTTTTATGTGGATAAGCATTGTAGGATTTCTTTTTCATGTGATCAGCAACAAAGAACAAGCATGTAATACAATAAAATTAAAAGGCAGAATCTGCTGTACAAGCTCTTATGAGCCACGATGCTGTAGCCATTAGAATATGGAAAAATGATACAACTGATATCGTTAGAAGACGGCTGGAGACTGGAGGTCTGCAAAAATAATTTATCTTTCTGCTCTCCAGATTTATGTGTTAATATAAATATGTATGGAAGCTGTAAAATATAGAACATTTGTGCTGCATCCTTGCTTATATTCTGTTTTATGTGAAACACAGACATATTTTTGTTATATTTTTTTCTGACAGACATTGAAAGGCAAGTCTATCCAAAGCTGATGTTTGAAGCTTGGGTAGATGCTGTGATAGGTTGATTTACCCACTATCTCTCTCAATTGGTAAGAGCATGGGTAATTACAGTTTGTGCTAGCCTTAATGCACATTTTCAATAGTTTTCTTGACTTACCTGTTGGTTTCCCAGGTGACTCTGTGGTTGCAGCTGCGGCCTTCTCTGCTTCCATCCTGTCAGGGGCAGCCGATGGCAGCAATATATTGTTTGGCATCACAACATCTGGCACTGAAATCTGAAATGTGCAAGAAACCATGAACACCATATAAAAGGGAGCAATGTCACATATTTCATTATTCAATATACACCAATCGGCAGCCCAGTGTCTAAAGGCAATTAGTATGCATTTTAGAGCTAGGGTGCTTGGTTTAGTTTCTGACTTTGAGAGAACGTGTGCTTGGCATATTCACAGCAAAGCAACAGGTTTGTATTAACAACGCCCCCCATAACACATCCCCCCCTTTCCCCCCCAATATCCAGCAGCATAGGTTTACCTTTCCTTCACTCCCCTGTCATTCTGTTCAGCACCAGAAAGTGAATAAAATACCTGGTATGGAAGATAAAGTTATTTGGCAATGCGTCTGTGCTGAGCCAATAAGCACTGCCACTCAGGGAGTCCATAGCCTTGTGTAAACCATAGATCTGGTAACTTACAGTGTATTTCCACTTTTGCAGTCAAATTTAGGAAAACCTCTCCATATGTTTGTTGTGTGTTACTATTCACACAGTATACTGAAAAAAAACTTAAAAAAATTCTTACCTGTTAAATATTTTGTTAAATCAGTGGGCTGACCCAATGGAAAGATTTGGGATGCAAATTTGAGGATTGTGTTTATCTGATAAGCTTTATTAACACACAATGGGCAAGCCTTCTCTAAATGGACGAGACCCCTCACCTATCACAACCCCTCCTAACATTTAAAAGAAATAGTAGCACAAATACATTTTACCCCTTAAAACCCTAACCCAAGTAAAATCTATTCAAACTGCAATTATTTTTTTATGTAACAAATATAAAATAGGTGTTCTCAATTTGGCTAGAAAGTGGAAATACACTTTAAAGCTTACACAGGGCTTTCTTTTCATTTCCAGGAACTAAATGGAATGACATGGAAGCAATAGGCAGGCAAATATGCTGCAGGATGGGTCTGCATTAAAGTAAACCTGTTGCTTTGCCCTACATAAACAATGTACCTTTCATTTTAAAGCGAACATTGCAAGGTATGTCTGGGTCCTCTCCTTCTGTAAAAGTGGCCAAAACCCCTGTTTACTTACCGTCATGAGGAGCTTTTCTACACAGTCTGGAGACACACTGTGCAAATGAGTCAAGTGCAGCTGCAGATGCATTTTGTTACTAAGAATATCTTGGCAGAGAGGACAGGAAATCACAGGCTGCACGGAATGCTGGGAGATGATGTGCATTTGAATTCGGTTGGCGTCTTTGCTGCTGTAGTTGCAGTAGGGACACTGATAGCACTGTTGGAGAAAAAAAAAAACCCCACATAACTAATGGTTAAAAGCCCTTAAAAAGGACAGACCTTCCATTTCTTTACCATTGTTATTATTATTATTCATCATATTTATACCTGTTCTTGGCAAATGCTATTTTCTTCAGCAGTTCTTGATCTCTTAGCTGCACCATCCTCTTCCTTACTTTGTATTAACTGTCGCTTTACAGTGGTAGAATTCAGGAGAGGCTCCTTGTCAGGTGTGTAAGTTCCAGAACCTAAAATGTTTTAAATAAATGATACATTTATATTAATAATTATATTTTAATGCATTCCTTGCCAGTTGTAGAGATAACCTATTTGCACAAGGTGATGGCAGCCATTCCTGTTTACGTTCATGTTTTTGGCAGGACTGTAGTATCTAGAACTAGCTATATTTAGCGATTTATATGAGTGTGACTGGCTCCAAATAAAAAAAAAAAAAGTTGGGAGGGTTTTGGGGGTTGTCAGATCAGGATAAAGGTTGTTCATGCCTTGCTTGAAATTTTATGACAAATGCCAGTAGCTACTTTGCAAGGCCCGACCAATATTATTGTACTGTAATTATGACTGAGGTAGACTTAACTTTTGTAAATGTATATCGGGATGCGCAGTTAGAACTAAGGTAAAGAAAAATTAAGTCTGGATAATGGCATCAAATGATGTATAATGCATGCTGCAGCAATAAATTAACAACAATCAAGCATAGAGTATGCATATTTTTTCCATTCTGCTGTTACTAACTATAAGCAGATTAAACATTCCAAGTGCAGGTTAGAATACATTTTAACAAAAAACCTAGAAAAAAATAGAACTTTCTAGTGCTGAGCCAACATTGGTCATTGGCCACAATACTGTTTTTACAGTGTTTTCACATGCCCCTTTTTTTTGGCTAATAAGTGAGACATTTTTATTATATATCTGCACAAATATTCTAAAGTATGTCCAAAGCCAACACCATTATTTTGCTTTTTTAGTTTTTTTTTATTTAATTTTTTTGTCTTTTCTTCAATCACTTTCTATCAAGTAAACATAACAGGGAATAAGAGAAAATATTTGCAAAGTGAGGGAAATTCCCTCTTAGACAATTGTCACCAGAACAGGTATCTCCTCAGGCAGGTTTCCCTTACAGCTTTTGTGACAATTTAAAAATCACTTTCATTCCCAGGGACAATAGCGGGTTAATCTCACGAAGGGCACAAGCACAGTTACAATCTGATCTTACAATCTCCTTTATATAAAAAAAACCTATGTATTGCAAGGGCCTTGATCGGTTAGATAATGTAGGGGCTCATATTATGTAGTTTTCGTAAATCTAAAGTAGATTGCAAAATATTGTATAGTCCGATTCTAACGTGAATGGTGACCCTTACTCAACAGTTTGTGCTTTCCTTCTTGCAGCAAATCAATGGCTCACTTATATGCCCTAACCTGCCCTTACAACAGGAATGGAAAAGGTGAGTGGTTGCTAAAAGGCACCTAGAATGTTTGTCACTCAAGAACATCACACATAAGACCCTTTGTGACACAGCTAACCTAAAATACTGGGAACAGTAATCTACAAAAGACACACATCAGCATCCTTCTCCATTCTAAAACAAAAAAATATGCCATGAAAACATTTGCAGTTTTGTTTATGCGTCATGGAATTCCAGCTCATTGATTCAGATATATTGGAAGTCACATTTTATGTCTAGTAACTGTTAGTAGACTCAATAAACAGGTTTACAAATGTAGTACTCTTTTCTTTTGTTTGGATAACCCTAGGTTGCCTTGAAAGATTAATCAATAACATAATTTCAGCTGGAATTTCTAGATTCCCTCAAAAGAAAGAAAAAAAAAACAACATTTCTTATTCCCAGCATTTTCTCATCTGCTATTTTAATTTCTTTACTGTCAAATGCTGCAAAAACAATACAGTTTTTGTTGTTTTAGCAAAGCCCCACAAAGCTGTCTCACAAACAGGGAAATATCCCCCTCATAACACACTTACCTATGTAGAGAAATAAAATTTTATCTCTATCTCTCTTTCAGGGCTGTAAAAAGCTTATACTGTGATTATCTGATCTCTTAAGACTGCAAACATTTTATTGTGCTATTTTGCAGTTTGACTATAGTTAATTTCAATATGATCCCCTAAACACAGAGCTCTTAATAGGATGTGGGAGCTTGCAGCATAATGTGACTACAACATTGCATTCATCAAAGTGAGAGGGTCGCAATTCTAATTTTCCTGTCTATCAGAAAATTCTTTCCAGCGTCAATTTGCCAGATAATCTCTTCTGCTAGGCTGGATATTACAAGAGCATTGGACAGGCATGTCACATACATCTTACGACGAAAACAGAAGCTCATTTACCAACTATTCCAATCTCATCACCATGCGGCATCATCTGACCTTTTTTTTTCCCCTTCTGTTTTATTATGAGTATTTCTAATTTTAACTTTCAATTTTCAACATCTTCCAGTCAATTTGCAACTAAATTATTTCCAGGATGAGGACACTATCACTGGACAACCGGGTGCAAATGCATCTTGAAATGTTTGGTTGCTAAGCCATTGATTGCTATCAGACCCTACATAAATATATAGCCCATTGGTAATCTGATTGTGCATGAAGATACAACTTGATTTTCTCCCTTTCACATGAGTCGGCTAAATGGACAAGGTCCCCTTGATTGCACAGTAACCATTTTTTAAATTTATAAATGGGGGCTTGTCAAGGTTATGGACACTGAGAGGAAAGATTGTGTTTACACATTTATTTGTAGCAAAGTAAAGATGACAGAAGGGATTATGGGAGCTGAAAATTTGACATTGTCAAAAATACAGTAAACATGCCGGTTTTGATTCAGGACTCATGGAATGCATCTTATCAATACTGCCCCTAGTGGATCTATCAGCCAATGAGAATATACACGGGGAGTCTACTTTTCATTTAATACGGAGTTTAAAAAGATTACTGTGAAGTAATAAAGTATTTCCCAAATTATGCTCAATTGTGTACCATATGACAACATTTGCAACATAATTGTGTCACTTTCCATACTACGTATCCCACACCATCCCACGTACATATGCGACTTAAACTTTGCCAGATAATTAGCGGTCTATTGTTAAAGGAGAACTATGACGTGAGTGATTTCCACTCATCCTCATAGTTAGAGCTGACATGTGACAAAGAAGCTGTCACAGGTCGGCTCTATTGAATGGGAAGTGAGCGAACACACATTGTCGCTCGCTCACTTCATCTCCCTGCACTGCAGAGAGCGGTGACTGTCAGTCACCACTCCCCACAGGGATGCACCCCTCCCCTCTCCGATCCTCCAGTGCTGACTGGAGGAACGAACGGGGGATGGGGCGGGCACAGTTGGCTCTGTCTCTAGATAGGCAGAGCCCGCTGTCACTCACGCAGCTGGGTGGATCTCGTCAGCATTGTTGGGATCTGTCCTCAGTATATCGCAGGCAATAGTCCACTATATACTGAGTTTTAGGTCACGGGAGGAGGTTAGCATATGTCCTCCCGTGACCCTAAAGAGAACTGTGGGGAAACACTTACCCCATAGTTCTCTTTTAAGCCACTTTTCTGTACTAATACTAGTACTTGCCTGTACGACATACAGAATTGGCAAAGGAACAATTGCTGCATTCATAGAAGGGTTTGGCCACCAGCCCACCAGAAAATGAAAAAGTATTTGACTAAATACTTAATGTCGCTTTGCTATATAAGGTGGCATATTTGTGCAATATTTAATAGAAGCCTGTATCTGTAAAATTTCCATTGTGCGGGAAAATCTATTGCACATGATCATTTTTTTTTACATAAAAAAAAAAATGGGTTGTTTCATTGCACATGTAAAGGAAGGCTGTGGTGGCTTTGTGTTCTCATACTCCTCATGTTTAAAAAAATCATTGCTGTCATTTGGCAAAATTTAAAATGTTGTGTTTAAGTCTGAATTTATTCATGCAGCTTGTTATTTCAGGCCTGACATCTGGCAAGGCCAACATTTAATGTTAAACATTGCTGACCTACAGTTCATCTGATAGCATAACCCTGCCCTGTCTGCTGATACAAACTCTAATGCAGCAACCTGGCTCAAACCAATAAATAATCTTATGCTAATGCAGATTTACAAATGTTTAATGAACATCTCTGACATCCCTCGTATATTATCTCTGCCTCTTATCCTTGAACTGCTTTTTTGTTTCTTTTTTGTGTATGTGTGTGCACATTTTTTTTCTTTTTTTTTAACATTCAAGATAACTTTGAGCATGGCTATAACTTGGCAAACAACTTTGCTGCTGTGCAAATAGTGTATTCCCCAAATTTTATTTTTTCTGTAAAATGGCTGTAAAGATGTTTCAAACAACATTCATTGTTGAAGTGCCTGCTGCACACCATTCAGCTTTGTGACCAATGTAGATAAGATAGGTGCTCGAAGCGACTGCCACAGATGGTGCCGTGCAGAACACTCAGCAATGTGAAGATAGGTCACAAGCACTACAAAATGGAAAGAAAAATATTGTTTAGGATTTTCTATAAACGAATTAGTAGGTGGAATATACAAAACCAAGCGCAACATACTGGCTCACAGAGATCTTGCAATAGGCTAGACCAGTGGTAGGCAACCTTGGCTCTCCAGCTGTGCTGAAACTTCAAATCCCATCATGCTTCTGGGAGTCATGCCTGCAGCTTGCAATGCCTTATGGGATTTGTAGTTTCAGCACAGCTGGAGAGCCGAGGTTGCCTATCCCTGGGCTAGACAAACAGAGTTGCATAAAGCTACATAAATGTTAGATGTTTCAGCTTCTGTACTAAAGACAGCTCTATCACATAACACATGCAATGTAATATTGCTGTATATAGCATTCTTAAAAATTTTCAGTGGAACCTTTGAATAACCATCTAGTTCATTAGCCATTAGAAAGAAAGATCTAATTGTATAAGAGGCATAGTAGCATGTGAGTTTCATTAAGGTATCCACATCTGTTGCATGATATGGACACTTTAATTTTGACACCCATGTCTACAGCACAGAACTACCTTCTGCGTATGAGACTCTCTCCAACAGACTGTATGGTATGGAGCTGCACAGAGCATGCTGGGATATGGGACACCCATCTGTAAAATCTAAGCTTAATCTCTTGATGCCTGCATAACCGTAGTGGTACAGTGTGTGTGTATATATAGATATATATATACATATCTATATATACATATATACATACACACACATAC